CATCGGGCTGGCTTAGGCTGGCTTCTGGTTATGACAATAACGTTGTAATAACTTCCTGGTAACATTTGCCGCAATCAACGGAATGCTGGTCCTCAGGCCTCAGGCCTCAAGGCGCTCCGTAGACTGGTGACCAGCCTGTCTATTAGGTAAACCGTCGATAGACAGCGCTCCGTTCTACTAGCTTTGACTCATCGGGGACGGCATTCCTCTGTTCCATAAGCATCGCTCATGTTTACCACGCTCTGAGAATGTATGAAATTTTTTATTTCCTGGTTAGCATACGCGCTAGACGAAATGACGAAATATATACGCACAGAGGCCTAAGATAGCTATTTGATCTAGATCCTTCAGTGAGGCATAAAGATCCGTCGTGAAGTTTTGAACTTGTTCTGGACGACTTCGCAGCGCCACAGATAAATGCTAGCCTGCAGTAACCCTTCTGAAAAAAGCCTGAAATTCAATGGCTCACAAATATGGTTTGACCGACATAATGTCAGCCAGCGACTACCGGTGTAACCAGCCGCGTGGCTTCCCAACGGCAGCAAGAAGTACATGATGGACTCGACTCAGGAGTCAGGAGCATCAAGGTCTTCTCTGATTGGCTCACTAAGGACGGAAATGGTGTGAATATGAGTACAGGTCCAAACGCCGAGCCGGCTTCAGTGTAGGAGAGATAACGGACTTAATTTGGGTGACTGAAGCAGACTAGCCAAAATCGAAAGATGGCATCCCAACATGGCGAAGGCATGTGAGTGAAGCCCTATCCAAATAGCGTCAGGCACTAGGCTGGACGTTGATGAACACTTTCTGACGAGGTGGCCTGTGATACCATGCGTACGGAAGGGTGGCTGTAACCCGACATTATGTGGGATCCTAAGCTGCAGCGCCGACGACATATGGCATTTCGGCCACAAAACAAAATTGCGCCCAGTGCGTAATTGCGCCCAGAGAACGTTTGGGGTCACGCATGGAATAACGTACCCTCCAAGTACGCTATACCGAATCCATGCCACTTCTCATATCCTGACGGCTCAGCGGCCTCGTTGGTCCGCAGTATGCAGAGGAAACTAGATGCTTAGCCCTTAAACTTTATAATAAACTCACGTCGTGTACATCTCCTTCAACAGATAGGCATGTGGGGTATAAGTAGACGCCTAGGCAAGATGATCGATCAGTATTGCTAGAAGCATTCGGTGCTTGGAAACTGGCGGAAAAACGTGTACTGCCAGTGCGGAACAGACGCGCAGCCTGAGTTTGAACTAGTTCCGGGCTCCCAAAGCACTTGATGCCAAATGGAAGCTCTCACTAGCTAGTTGTGCGCTCACGATAGAGAACGAAAGGCTGATCGAATGCGATCTCGTTAGGAAACCCCAAAGCAACCACTGACATGTTGGGACAGATTGAAAAGTGTACTGTCAGTCATAAGGATTCCCTGCCATGACTTTTGCGCAAAGCTCCATGATTTGAAGAAAAGATAGAAAGAGTCAATGCAAGCTCAGGTTGAAGCTGGAATTGAATAAACAGAAAACTGATCATTGATCCCACGATCTCATGATGACCCCAGGCAGGTGACTGCTTGGTATGTTGTTGTACCATGCTAGCAAGCACCTGATCGCTCAGGTTCATTCCAGAAACATCCCAAGACGCCTACTATCAATGTCTCTTGCATCTCCTGAAGCATTCTCAGTCGAGAAACACGTTGCGATCGCAGCAGTACGGAGAGCATGTCTGGTGACTTGCACTGTGTTCAATCAATTAGTCCGAGACAGAACGGATACCCTCAAGAAGGAAGACGATTCACCAGTGACAGGTATCAATTTCCGTCTTTCAGGTTTGAGGGTCGTAGCTAATCAATTTTATGAAGTCGGAGATTATGCCGCACAGGCGGTTATCAATACTGTCTTGAGGAATGCATTCCCCGAAGATCCTATCATCGGCGAGGAGGGTGCAGATGCCCTCCGGCAAGGATCAAATACTAAACTGCGGGAACGAGTGGTCTCCTTGGCTAACAACGCATTGCAGGAAGATCTCATCGACGGGGAGAAAGCGCAATGGGGCTTAGGTTCTCAACACGAGCACAGTTCAGAGGCCCTGTTAAAGGCGATAGATGAAGGAAACGATGCGGGTGGTCCAAATAAACGTGAGGCTATGTTGTATGTCGTTAATTCCGTACTCTGACCTGTACTTAGGCATGTGGACAGTTGACCCTATCGATGGAACGAAAGGCTTCTTGCGCGGCGGCCAATATGCCGTTTGTTTGTCTCTCATTGTGAATAGCCAGGTTGTGCTGGGCGTCATCGGATGTCCGAATATACAAATACACCCTGCAAACCCTGATGAAGAAAAGGGTTGTATCTTTGTTGCGGTCCGAGGACAAGGCGCCTTTCAGGTAATCTCCAATTCTGTGTGCCAAGTGTATAATGCCCTTAATTTCCTCAAACAGGTCACCTTGTCTGGCACCAATGCGATTAAACTCCCTTTCTTTTCTTCAGAGAAGTCATATGTCCTCCAATCGGAAGAGTCGAAGCACACGAATATACCATTGATTAGACGGGTTTCTGACGAGCTCCACCTTACTGAATGGGGAATGGATAGCCAGGCCAAATATTGCTGTCTTGCCAGAGGAGAGGGCGCGGTGTATCTTCGCATGCCGGCGCCTACCATTGGCGCTAAACAGCCTTACGAGGAGCGAATCTGGGTAAGTCGTTTGACAATCAATGATTTAGTAGCGCTAATAATTCTGTTACCCTGACTTGCAGGATCATGCCCCTGGAAGCATCCTCGTTGAGGAGGCAGGTGGCAAAATCACAGATTCTGAGGGCGCTCCACTCCAATTCGGACTTGGGAGGGGAATGGGAGAGAATCACGGCTTTGTAGCCACAGTCGATGAAGAACTCCACGCGCGAGTGGTATCAGCTATCAAGCGGGCTCAACTCGCGGAGGATCCTAAAAAGACGAAGCCTACACTTTAAAGAGAGCCCTTTAGACGAGATGCTTTTATCAGACGCTGGTATAACACATGGTTCCCTGGATACCTCCTAGGGTTGCCGATCGGATAACTATTGGAAATCAAGTGTCAAGTCGTACGTTAGGCGCTAGCATTTCCTCAGTCACCTTTTGAACATCAAACTGGAAGGCGACCATTAGTGCCCCCTCACCATTGCCTCCCACGGACGAATTAAGACATTCTATTGGAAATTTCTGTTGCATTCCATAGGGCGGTGTTGTGTATACTTGGCGAATCAGCGCTAGCACTCAGCGCCAGTTTCGACCAGCTGATCAGCCCGGCCTCCTGGCTAGTCATTGTCGTACTATACTACGTACTTATTAGTACAGGGAATGATGGTGAAGCGCCTATCTTAAGCTTCCGAGACTCGACTGAGCGTCTAAGATTACGCCACATATGCCCATTTGATCTAACCGTGTATCAATTAAGTACTCGAGGTCGAAGTCAGTACGAGTTGAGCATGAGAGTTCTGACTAATTAAGGGGCGTGTGAACACGTTGGGAGCGGCGATGATTCTGTCAGGTCCTGGCGCTTGACAATGTTTTCAGTACTTCCTGGCAGCTCCCGTTTTGCCGCTTCGCTGCCGCGGAGCATTCCTATGAGCACCTAGCCTAGGCGCTTGATAGGATGAGCGCTATATCTGAGAATGCTTCTTGCCTCATGGTCGGCCGCGACAATCACACCGAGACAGCGCTAATTCACCTGTTATTTACCTCAGCTCTTTCGGCTCACCGTATATTCTATGCTTTCTGGCAAAAATGATTGATCAGGCCACTCTTCAAACTGCGACATATAACATCAGGCATATAGCTACAGGACAATACGTTGCTCTCAAAGATACCAAGAGAACTTCGACTCTGATCGTCCTCCAAGATAGTCACTTTGAACACCTTGCAGTGAGCCTTCCTAGAGTTGGTCTCTATATGCTAACTTTTCTTTGACAGTGGGTTTTGGACAAGCTGGCAGGACTCGAAGACACGTATCATGTCAGAAGTTTCCTGCAGAACACTTTTGCTCAGACGGGAGAGTCTCCCACCGCGGGCGCTGGAATCGTTTCCGGGACAGAATCATACCCGTGGCTCATTCGTCCCGCCGCCAGCGGTTTTGGTGACTTCTACCTGTGAGTGAGGTAGTTACCATTGACGCGGTTTTTAAACATGCAAGGTACCTAGCATTTCACCTCATTCAGATCCCTCTCTCTATTGGACCATCGTAAAGACACGGGATGGTACAAATGTAAGCTCATCTAAACTTGACTTGCGGCCTCATGCTCATCAGTTGTTGCAGGCTATACTAACCAACAATCCACAGCATCACGTATACTGGGAATTTGTCAAGATATCTGCCTAAGGACGAAAGCTGGGAATTGGGTGGGTGGTGACACTGGGCCTGGGGTGCCACAGTGGAGTGCGAGGTATCATAGTTCAGGGTCACGTCCAGCCAGATCTCAGCAGAATTTTTGTGTAGGTAGTATTGTTTTCTGTGTTCTAAATGATTCATTAAAATTTTATAAAAAAACTCATCATGCCGTGCGTTTAAGGCTGTGATTGGGATGGGTAAGCCGGTCACTTCTATTTTTTTCTGGTGTCCCAATCGACTGCCGGCTTTTATGTATCCGGACCACTGTTCAGAAGTGGAACAACACCATACTATGGCTGTGTTCATTTACTATATGATGGCATCCGCGGCACGAGTCCGAACATCATGCCTGTGATGCCAACTTGGCGCCACCCCAATTCTGCATTTTCGCCTTCGCGAATGAATGATTATGTGCCTTGAGGCCACTTAAATCTGCCGCATGCCCGTCCTCCATTGTGCATGCGGAGTTCATACCGTGACGAAGTCCATTGAACTTGAGAATCTGGGAACAAAATTAACCCGTGATGCTGTTTCATATACTGTCTCGACACTACCGTGATTATCATCGGGGAATTCGGACCATGTGTCTTGACTCTGATGACTATAAGAATGGCCTGGTAAATGCAAGGTTTGCCATCAAAAGTTCTACACGCTGTCCCATTTCGAGAAACACATCTCGTTCATTTGTGCACTCACCTTCGCGACGATGACGATTTCAGGTAACCTTAAAACTGGGACTTACACTCTTCGGAATGCTAGTACAAATGACTTTGTCGTTGTACAAGGCCCCAAAACTGCTGCCCTGGTAACAAGCAACGATGGTCGGGCAGAGAATGCCGCAGTACGTCCAACCCATGGATCATGCGGAGGAACATAAATAACATTCTATAGTGGGTCCTTGAAAAACTCAGTGGGCATTACGACAAGTACAACATCAGAAATTTCGCGCACAACTCATATGCCACTGTCAACAGTGTGCAAAAAAGAAGCGCTGCACTCACCTGTGGGCGCGAGGTGTGCCCTTGGAGCATCAGACCAACTGGATACGGAACATATGTGTCTGTCTTCCATCAGCTGAGTATATTACGTCTTATCTTACAGACGCACATGTACATCCAGGATTTCACCACACTCAGATGCTTCGCTGTTTTGGAGCCTGAAAACGTCCGGGGATCACTCGCAGGTAAGTATCAATGCTCTCGTGAACTGCAGGGTCTACTTACATAGCAGTTGATACAGGCGCTATTGACGGATGATCGGACCAACACCGTCCATTGGTACTTGCATCGTGTGTCGGCCTGACTCAGAGATGAATGAACAATAGGCTGCGGTGCAGATGAAGGATCATGGCATAGCCCCCTTGTCCCTATTCCGAATCTCGGGTTGGACGCGGGGTGATTACTTGATGGAGGTAGCAAGGCGCTGGTACGATAGTATATGATCTTGTTACCCATGTATTCGAACTCAGACAGGTTCTTTGCGCTACACCTTTATAATAGTCGATCGTCTAATGACGTTAGTCCGTCACAATAGCCTATCTGCCGCATATTGAACAACCACGACCACAAAAGAGTCGATTCCAATTGGAACCCCACATGATGATACGACCACACGCAGCGATTAATATTGCAGTCTGAACACGCGCTCAAATTCAGCCCTAGATGATGCACATCTTGACTACGTTTAGCCTGAGCGACGTGAAGGATAGTCTTGAATGTTATTAGCAGGGAATCATCAAAATTCAGTGGGCGCATGATGACAAAAGAGGTCGGTGATTCAATGTAAATGTTAAATTCTCATCATTCTGCGTGCCGGTGATCAATAGGTACACGGAACCAGTGTTTGTGGCAGGCCGCCTAAGCATACCCGAAATTTGGAATACTTGCTTCTTTCTCATACGACATCAAGGTTTTAATTCTGAGACAAAGGTGAAGGAGTTCAGGTTACACCCCACTTCAGTGAGCTTCGTGTCAGGGGCTCCTCATGAGCGTAGCGCGCTATTCTAGATCGTGTCATTAGATGTCACACCTTCTGTACTCACCTTCAAAGGTACATACAGATGATGGTCAGCAGGGTGCTGGCATCTTCAACACTACGCAATCAGCTGTATCTTTGATGCCCATGATACAGGCTGGATCACTTATCCATCTGCAACAACATGACACACAGTCTGCCGCGTCTTTCAAATGTTTACCAGTGCTGGTTGGATAATCCTATCAAGATATAGACTGCCCAGTGGACTCGTAGCCGTGTATGGAGGAAGCGATGCTTGATGTGCACCCGGATTGGGTCCACGGCGTTGCCGGCGTCCAGTTTTTGTATCACCGCAACATCCCAAGTCAGTTGACAAGATAACTGTGCTGGGTGTTCTGTCTGAAAAGTCGATTTTAAAGCTTAATTTGATCGAATAACTTGCCAATATCTCCATAGATGAAGGCTATCCCTGAATCATCAACGGTCTCTTGAGGTATCCAGTGTGGTAATTACAGGCAAGTTCTTCACAATGCGGAGCACGTATCATGGAATCGCTAGAAAATAACTCCGCAGCGAGGTGTGGAGACAGGAATGTCACGTCGACGTTATAGAAGAATAATCTGCGAGGCGTCCAAGGAGTGTGTCAGTGGCATGTCAAGAAGTCGAGTATGTGTGGTTGGATCAGGAGGCGTGATTGGTTCTTCTGAGGCACGTATAATGCATGCCATACATGCGCAAGAAGAGCCAGCCTGCATAAGCGCCACCTTGATGCAATAAAGTGAAACTGCCGACTGATGTGATGGCGCGGTTTCAAGTGTGGGCAGCCGGTGGTTACAGATCTTGAAGGAGTGTGATTCTACGGGCGATTTGAAGTATGGTTTGGATAATCACTAGTCGCTGGTCAGTGCGTTGAGCGCTCACAGTGACTAATAACTGTGCATAAGTTTGGACTGCAAATGTATTAATGCAACATTAGACATAGTTATGCATAGAAAGGCTAGATCATGTGAAAAGAGCGTAGTTGTTCGTTTTCTATATGTATATTTGTTATGGAGTTTGAAAGTGTTTTGTTCAGTGAAATATTATCTGGATTTTACGAATTATACCAAGCTCTCGTTCGCGACTATCATGGGCAGAAACAGTACGCAAAGCACTCCACGCTCATGTTTTTTTTTCATCTGATGGTCTATAGAATCCCAGAAATCGTCAGTACCGCAAAAATCCAGTCAGTCCCATTCTCATTTCTGCTACACCCATTACAGAAAGAACAAACTGATCGATCCCCAAATTTTGCGCACCAGAGCTCAAAAAAGACCCCGGAATACCAAGGCTTCCTCAACTAAAGGTTCGGATTGCGGAGAAGCGGAAATCTAGTTCTGTACGTCATATTCGAGTCTTAATTATTACTACTTCATCTTGAGCTGCTACTCCTCGTAGCCTGCGATTCCCCAGCCCGATGATCCAGATGCCTATATGGCTGCTGAACCTACCCTGTCTTCACTAGCAGCTCTCGCTTCAGAGACCCAGAAGGCTGTAGACCAGGATACCACATCTTATGCGGGCTCCTCACAGAAGACAAAGGAGCAAATTCGTCGCCACTACGTCCGTGTGCTACACAAAGTAATCGATGAAAGTGACATCGTCATCCTTGTGCTCGACGCTCGCGATCCGGAGGGATGTAGGAGTCGATTGGTCGAAGAAGAGGTAAGACGGAGAGAAAGTGAAGGGAAGAAGCTCGTGTTTGTATTGAATAAAATCGGTATGAATGTTGGTTTCATTTGGTTTTTGCACTCTTCCTCACCGTGTGCTGTGGGCGAAGATTTGGTTTCAAAAGAGAATGCTCAACAGTGGCTCCGATACTTGCGACATTCCACGCCGACACTCCCATTCCGTTCTGCTTCCTCCAATCAACGTTCTCATCTCAGCTCTACGACGGCACCCGGACTTATGCGCCTTCTTAAAGCATTCAAACCTAGTTCACAGAGTATCACAGTTGGTGTTGTTGGGTTTCCAAACGTCGGTAAAAGCAGCCTCATCAATTCTTTAAAGCGATCAAAGGTCTCGATCTATTTGCTACTACTCGTACTGAATGTCTCACATGTTATGTGAGTCTAGGCCTGTGCAGTGGCTGCACAGCCAGGTCACACGAAGGACCTTCAATCCGTGCAGCTGGAGCGAGGAATTAAGATCGTCGATTCACCTGGTGTAGTTTTTGATGAAGATGAATCAGGTGACTCTAGTCAAAAGGGCAGCATTCTCCTACGAAATGTAGTCAAAGTTGAGGATATAGAAGATCCCATCGCTGTTGGTGCGTTTCTTGATATAAACTCAGTTCCTGATGGATGGATTGCTAATCGCACTGTTTCAGTGGAAGAAATCCTCGCGCGGACAGAACATGAGACACTCCGAAAACTATACAATCTCCTTCAGTTCTCAAGCACGCTGGAGTTTCTCACCATGCTTGCGCTCAACAGCGGACGCCTGCTCAAGGTCAGCTTTATTTTTGTGAATTCTGACACTTTACACAACTATCACATCTGCAGGGAGGTACCCCTGATCTACTTTCAGCCGCACGTCACGTTCTCATGGACTGGAATCACCAAAAAATCCCCTACTTCTCTGTTCCGCCCACCATTCATCCCTCGTCGATGCCTTCTGCCACAACAGGCGCAGAAACCATCGGGCAGTCACAAATCCTCGATTCATTCTCTAAACCGTTTGAGCTCGCAGGTTTGTTTTGCACAGCAGACGCCGGCGCGTTCAATGAAAATGCACCGATGCAGGAGGAGGTGGCTATGGATGACAGTGAAGTCAACAATGACATTGCTGCGCGAGAATCTGGCATGATAGTCGATGATTGCATGACTGCATCTGCACTATCAATCCCGTCATCCCGCAAGCGTATTCGTTCGCCCTCGTTGGTCACACAGGCAGGAGTTACCGACTCCTCAGTACAACTGCGCATACCGAAGCGGTTCCGTCGCGCGAAGGATCTTTCTGCATACGAAGAAGCCGCTGTGCGGAGCCAGAGTCGCGCGATGAATAGGCGATCTCTGAAACAGGACCGCAAGCGCGCACGAAGGGCTGCTAACAAGTTGACCAAGGCCGAGTCGAGGATGGAAGTTGATGGGCTGCAGGAAACATTTATTGCTGATGTGCGGGAATAAACCAGTGTTCTTTTTATCTGCATATCATGGCATTTGGTTTTGTGCAAAGTGATATCCGCCAGAGCCGCTAGCCAAAAATCGCTGTATCAAGTTTCGCTGTGAGCTACTTGTTGCGACGACTGTTGCTGATGTAAACTAAAATATGTTCAATCTGCCATGCATGTTGCCTGTCATTCTAGTTTGCATTTGGTCACAAAATGCATGCCAATTGCAACTCTGTAGGCAAAGCCAACGAAGAACCCACAGAAAGTGGTGCCAGATAAACATACACAAGTACGGCAACAAGACAAATAAATCACGCAATGCATATTATGTTATGATAATAATAAACAGTCAAGCTAATTTTGCAGCCCATTGTGCTGTCATTTCCTCCGCAACAACTCCAGGGTTCAGCGTTTGCGGCTGAAACAATATTCGCAGAGCAGGGCAGTATACTGCGCATTCCTACGAGGTATTGACTTTTTCCCGCTTCGAAATTGGTGCGGAGGACGCGCTTTTGTACCCCAACTCGTCTGATTGCGGATTTCGTCACTGCAGGGTCCTAGCGCATCACATGACCATTGATCCGGCCTCAGCGCGGCGTCTGCGTCAAGGTTCGTAACACTGCTGATTCTTCGGATCATTCTGATGTTTCGACTTACTATCGAGGGTTTCTAGGAAGGCATGTATGCTCCTCTTTGGAACTGCCTTTGTTCTTCGGTAGTGAAATCACATAGAAGTTCTTGGGCCCCACAAATTGAATCCAGACTCAATTCGGCAGTAAGCCTATCACTGACACATGAGTCTTCACCCCTCCGCCGCATATCCAAGTATAAGTGAAGGTCAGGCCTGACGCTTGGTTTACAGTACTACATTTGAATCATGGCCGATTCCGCTACTCCAGCACAGGCAGACCAGCCCCACGTCGCACTCATTACCGGCGCAGCCCAGGGCATTGGACGCGCTATTGCCCTGCGGCTCGCAGAGGACGGACTAGATATTGCCATTGCAGACTTGAAATCACAACGCACGACCCTCGACGCCGTCACGGATGAGGTAAGGGCGAAAGGGAGGCGATGTCTTGTTTTGGAGTGTGATATATCACAAGAGGAGGAGGTCCAGCGCATGGTACAGGCTACGGAGCAAGAGTTCAATAGTTTGGATGTCGTGCGTGTCTCGTGGGCCGTCAACCTATTAAACTGCCTGATAAATAGTATTCTAGATGGTAGCGAACGCCGGACGAATCGTTGTGAAACCTTTGGTTGATTGTAAGCCAACCACGTCTTTGATTCGTTTTCGTGATGTCGCTATATCCCAATAGCTACCCTCGTCGATTTTGATGAGATATTCAACACCAATGTGCGCGGGACGTTCCTCTGCTTGCGTGCTGCAGCGCAAACTATGATCAAGCAGGGGCGTGGCGGGAGGATCATCAGTATGTACCGCCCTTTGTTCCTTTGTTTTGGATGATAATACCGTTGCCATAGGCGCGTCATCAGTAGCAGGGAAGAAGGGGATGGCATTCAACAGTATTTACAGCGCATCGAAATCTGCCATTCGATCATTCACACAGGCGCTCGGTGAATTCAAGACGTTTTATCACTTCGTCTGATCTCATCTTAGCCTTCTTGCGTTATAGCGAGTGAACTGGGATCACACGGCATCACCGTGAACGCTTACGCTCCTGGACCAGTTGAAACGCTTCTCCGTAAGTTTACTGCATGCTATTTCCTCTGCCACCTTCGTTTCCCTACCCCCATCCACTACCCATTTTCTTTGTTAGTCTCTGCATCCTGACGCTGACGTGGTACCCAGTGCGAAGCTCATCCGAAGTATTCGCGAAACAGGCAGGATTTCCTGATAGCAAGGCGTTCGTGCAAAGTGTATGTATTAGTATTTCTCTCTTGAGGTGAGGTTTCTTGATCGCTTCAATCGCTTGACAGTATGAAACGAGTGTGGCACTGCGGCGGATTGGAACGCCGGAAGACATTGCAAACACTGTGTCGTTCCTCGCAAGCAAAGACTCTGCCTATATAACCGGGCAGACGATCACAGTTGACGGGGGATTATGGATGGACTGATCATGTACTTCTGTGCTTGTGGCCCGCAAAAAACACAGCTTGTTTGCAAACTACATTGAGTCCTTGTAGAGAATAAACTTGTGTATGACTGTATCTTCACCCTCTTTACGCCCACATGACCTAGGCAAGGTATGAAAGTGCACACATCTCGCTCGTTCTTCGTGTTCCATCTCCGAAACCTTGCAAGTAAAGTAGTCCTTCAGTGCTGCGTTCAGGCTGTCGCATTGTCATCAAGTGACTTGCACTGCAGTACTGGGGTTCCTTGGGATATGAATAGGTCAGGGAGTAAAACTCGTCATGCTCTTGTCATTCTCAAAGTTAGTTAAGCTAGCCAGCATGTGAGGCCTAGCCTACCAACACTAGTTTAATGTCATCTCTAGATTCACATTTAATGTCCTATCGCAATCCACATATTCGGTGTTGCTACAACAACAGTCAGTTTGAAAAGTCCTTAGAGGACAAGAAATACAATCACCGGTACGCCATGGCTGTGAATGAATTGGAACAGATTTGAACCTGCCGTTTAGTAGTATGTAGTACAAGTGGTTATGAGCTTTTGCCACAATTGTGGAATTGCAGCCCTTTGAAGCTTGAAGCTTGAGATGGGGCTGCACAGTCAGGTTTCCCTCGATGGATCCTCGATCAGAATTGCGCCTACTGGAGGCTGGAAGGCTGGGCTCAAAACTGCGGCAGGCCTATTGAAAGGGAAACCATGCAAGGACTCAAAAGTCTTTCTAACTATAGACCTAGATTAGCTAATAATCCCAGTTACACAGACTCCGCATCATGATGTTCGTATCCAGTGCAAGCCACACAACGGGGCTTCTGATAGCCTGACAAGACTTTGATCCAGTGTATGCATCACTCTCAGGCCCATCATGATTGTGCTCCTCAGTCGGTTGATTTTCCTTACAGCACGAATCATATAACGATTCGTTGACGCGGATTGGAACAGTTGGAACTTCCGTCGGAAGAAATTACAAATGTTCGTTCCTCGCGGGCAAGGACGCCACGCCAGACAACTTGGCAACCACAATCGATGGGGATGCGACTGAAAGAATTACCATCAGATATAATTACAACGTAACCCAAGTAATTGAAGTAAAAGTCGACTGTCTTATATTTACTTCCAACAGTGAGCGCTTGATCGGACCACAATTGCGGATGTGGGCGGCGTGCTATATGAATGGCATCACTGCGCACGACCGTGAAGTTGTTGCCTCATGATCTTATTCAGGAAGGATCTAAAGGGATTCGTCAGCACGCGGTGTTATTCCTCAGGTACCACTCAGCTTGCACTATATTAGTATGTCCGAGCCTCACCTATTTCCACCATATAAAGATCAGGACGTCTAGTAGTCCCAAGATATCCACACCATGTCTGATCCCGCTTCTTCAACACTGACCATCCACCCTCGTGTCGCACTTATCACAGGCGCAGCCCAGGGCATCGGACGTGCCATCGCCCTACGACTCGCAGAGGATGGGCTCGACATTGCCATCGCAGACTTAGCATCACAGCGCACGAAGCTCGACGGCGTCGCAGAAGAGGTGAGGGCGAAGGGGAGGCGATGCATTGTCTTGGAATGCAATGTGTCACAAGAGGAGGAGGTCCAACGCATGGTGCAAGCTACGGAGAAAGAATTTGATGGTTTGGACGTTGTGGGTGTTTCCTACTGAAAACTTCAACGTCGTCTGACAAACGGGTAGATGGTAGCGAACGCTGGACGACTTCTCGTGAAGACTATGGTTGACTGTGAGCCCGCACTGTCTTTAATTGTGATATTTAGCTTTCGATGATAACATCAAACTCCGATAGCTACCCTCACCGATTTCGACAGTATATTCGACACCAATGTACGCGGGGTGTTCCTGTGCTTGCGTGCCGCAGCGCAGGTCATGATCAAGCGAGGGCGTGGCGGGAAGATAATCAGTATACACGTCTATTTATTGTCTCGCATCTGGATAATAATACCCTTTGTCATAGGCGCGTCGTCGGTATCAGGGAAGAAAGGGGTGGCATTAAACGGCATTTACTGTGCGTCGAAAGCTGCCGTTCGATCTTTCACACAGGCGCTCGGTATGTATACCAGAGGTTATAATGTTTCATCTTATCTTACTTTTCTTGCGTTCTAGCGAGTGAACTCGGGTCATACGGTATCACTGTGAACGCCTACGCGCCTGGACCAATCGATACGCCTCTCCGTATGTTCATGTTATCTCCTCTGTAACATCATTACCTCACATCCATCACATATTTTCTCTTTCTTTTATATATGTACCCTGACGCTGACATGCACGCATCCAGTGCAATACTCCGCAGATTCATTGGAGCAACTGCTAGGGGTTCCTGATGGCAAGGAATTGATCCTAAATGTATGTATCAATCTCTATATTTCTCACCGCTCCCGCCCCCTAATCGATTGGAACGCCTTGCAGTTCCAAGCAACGAATTCGGCACTGAAGCATGTTGGAATGCCAGAAGACATTGCGGGCTTGGTATCGTTCCTCGCGAGCAAAGATTCCGCCTTCATCACTGGCCAGACAATCACAATTGATGGGGGAGGCTGGATGGATTAATCCCATGCTTATGGCTAGAATAACCCTATAATGTAACTTGTCTCCAAAGTCCAAACCAACCGTGTAAGTATATCCCGACTCTTCGTATGATCAAATCTTCACTTGCCTTTTCATTAAGATGCGTTACCATACATGTTGATACATTTTGGTCTATATGACCTTCTCACAAGGCTGACTTTGCGGCAAGTTTTTGGGCGACACCAAGATGATCGAAAAGAACTTATGGAGAAGTCAGGGAAAGATTCCTGGCCCCGTGCATGTTCATGCTTGACGGATAATACTAAATCGATGATAACATGATGATCTGGCGGGATTGCTCCTCCAAACTTCAAAACTACGGAAAGCAGGCGCGATCCATTCACTTTTCATACAAGACGGATCGCTGGACGACATTCACTCCATGACTAATTTGCTACCCCATGCTGCACTGTCATCGCGGACATGAAAGCCACAACACACGGAGCTCGACAGCGTCGCAGAGGAGGTGAAGGCGGAATGGAGGCAGTGTGTGGTTAGAATGCGATGTTTTACAGGTCCAGCGCATATAAGGTTACGAAACAGGAGTTTGATGGCTTGGACGTCGCGAGTCTCTCATCAACTGCAACCATGTCAGATAGCTTGACGGATGATTTGGATGGTAGTGAATGCTGCACGAATCATGAAGTCCATAGTTGACTGCCATGAGGTGAACCCCTCTTTGATCACATGTTGTAGTACTAACCTCGATTACAAACCAAAATATCTACTACCCTCACTGCCGAGATCTTCGACACCCATGCGCGCGCGACGTTCCTCTGCCTGCTTGCTGTAGCACAGGCTATGATCAAACGCGGGCGTGGCGGAAGGATTATCGGTATGTACACCGTTTATGATCTCGGTTATAGCTGCATTACCGGTGACACTGGAGAGCAAAAAGTCGACACCAGCCAGCTTTTTGGATGAATAGAAAGCTCCCATTCAATATTGCAGTGCATGCCTTCACCGAAGAAATGATACAATAGCTGGGGCTTCCCGATGACAAGCTTTCATTCGACGTGTATGCATCAGTATTTCACTTTCTACTACCCAATCAGTTGACCTGCACTGCACTCTATAGCACTACCAAGCACGCATCCCGTTGGGCAGATTGCAACAGCAGTGGATATCGCAAACCTGGCGTCGTTCTTTGCGGACCAGGACACCACCCACGTTACTGGCCAAACACAATGAATGGGAGACTGAAGATAGACTGATAATGTTCGTGCAAAAGGAATATCTTAAGAAACATGATTAAGATTTGATCAACATTACAGTTAAAACGAAGTTCCAAATGTAATACGCATATGTTTAATACTGTCCAAACTATCCGCGCTTGATCTGCGCGCAATTACAGATTGATAAAATGTACCTAGCTCCTAAATAGCTCCCTGAAAATAATTTCGGCACGAGTGCAGCCATGGGCCGCTATCTTGTGCACAAGGTGAATTCCATGGAGGGTCATACCTCCACCCAGAGGTTTGTTCTTACATGTTCTCACTTGCTCGCCCCGCTGTGCGCTCGCCGTATCCCAAATATCTTTGAGCTGTGAGAGCCATTATCTGCCGATAACAGGTCGCTGCTCGACTTAGATTTGAAGTGGTGCTGAGAGTCATCCGTACCGCTGGGGGGGAAGTTGGATGCGTCTAAGACTTTGATTATACCGCTGTAGAGATGATGAAATAGTACGAGGAACGCAGTCGGAAGGCAAAACAAGCGGCGAAGATGTTCACATGAGCAAGAAGCGACAATGTGACAGCGTGATACTAGTACTGACCGTTGAGTCGCATCCACATAATTTTCCCTATCAAACCTCTTTGAGGTCTTGATTGACACACCCTTATCCGATATAGAGATGCCTTTGTTCTGAAGACTACAGAAACCCAGTTGAGTGTTTGAACTCGGTGAGCGCACATTTCAACGTACGATTGCTTCGTATTCTGAACGGCCGCTGAGAGGCGTTTCGCAATGAGGACTATGCCGAAGATGGTCCCCACAAAAAGAATCGTTGTCTGCAGGCTCAGCCAAGTTAGGAGTGGCGATCGGAGAACGAGGACGGCGGCTTTATGCTTACGGTTAGAAAAGCGATTATATCAATCCTGATTGCATGAATACACAGATATGAGGCAATGATTTAGAGTGTGAGGGACGAGAAACACACCAAGAAGCCATCGTTTATATCTTGCAATGCAGCACACGACAATAACGACGAGGCAAGGCAAGTACTAGCAAGTGTGATATCGAGCGTCAATTTGTGAGGGAACTTCGAAGACCAGATTAGTGCGCAGATAGAATTGAAGTAGAAGTTGGGGGTAGGAAGATAGAGAGCGCTTGTAAGCGGCTAGGTACTATGTAAGTGTTTGACGAAGTTGAAAGCTGTGATCGAGGAAATACTAAATATGAGGATGTACGTAATTCAAGGGTCACTCAGCTCTTGCTCCCGAGCATCTCATTCCGAATAAGTAAGTAGTCACTTGGCTGATCAGTGTGCCAGTCCGGTTCTGCAAATCTGAACCTCGGTTAGAACCTCTTTCCGAACCGGGTCCGTGGTCCGGTCTTCTAATAACTTTGAACATCGGTTTGTTGTAGTGTTGTGCGGGCCTCCCAGTGCACTGTATCACAAATTTGTCACTGAAATGACTTGACTGCTATTGGAATTCGTGACAGAACCACTGGAATATCTGCGACCATATTACAAGAATCAATTGATTCTACCACAATTAACGATTAACGAGTGACAAGACAAAGTATCGCAAGAGCCTATCATGTGAGCTAGTAATATTCAAAGCACTCTTAAATATCGATAACCATGTGTCAGTCCATGTAAAAAGATAGCAACGAGCGTACATGCATCCCAAAATTCCCCAAAAAAATCCAGGCAGTTCCAAATACTGATTCTAATATGAGAATATCATCAACCAAGGGTTGAGGACAATCTATGAGTCGAATTCCCGTCAGTGAGGAAGCGAGGTTGAGACTTAGGCAAACGTGACATACAGGGAAGAGAATATGGCTTCCGACAACGATGCTACACGGTCATGTAATCTTAAGTTTCAGTTTGTTACAACGCAGATACACAACTTACGCAAGCGGCATGACAACTGCCCAGTCAGTCGAGTTCACCTGCCATCCAGCGGGCACCAGTGACGTGCTGAGTATGATCATCCCCGCTCCGACAACGATGCATAATATCAGTGCAATGCGAAAGCGCTTTATGATCCTCGGAACTTCAATGAAGAAGTTCGACCGTTCGACCTCCTTCTTCGTAGCACCCCATGTGATGTTGTAGGAAAATAAATGGGAGAGTAATGCTTGAGAAAGGTGAATGCTTAGCCCTCCAAAGAAGAAGAAACTAAATCAGGTACGAGGATGTACTTCTGAGTATCTGTCCAAGGTAGAGAGGTCTGGCACTCACAAGAAAGGTATCCAGGTCACGTTCTCGATTGCCGAAGCTAGAATGTTGCGGTGACCCAGACGGTACTCGAGAAGCGTAAATCCGAGATTGCCGAGCCCGGGGAAGACAACAGTACATGCTAGCCAGACTTCAAAGCTGTGTAAGAAGAACCCATCGACCTCAACTTGGAAGCCTAGCAAAAGGTAGTTGACTAAAGAGAGAATCGCTGATGCCGCAATGCCGTCTTCCATACCATAGCGCGTCAGCATTCGCCGAACGTAAAATAGAAGAAACCATCATACAGTACGAGAACATGTCTGCACAGATTTGAATGAGTGCATTTTATGCGCGATGGGGAACACTTACAAGCCATCATACTAAGCTTATAGTGCACTGGGGCTCCAGACCACACAAAAATGCGGAGCTGCTTAGCAATCGGTCCCATCTTCCACCAATGGATGAGCGGATTGAATATAAGCTCATTGCACCCTGCTTATCTTAGCTTGAGATCCCATGGATAGCGAGAATGACTTACCATATGAATACTTCTGCCACCGATTCAACTCATCATCGACAGTGAGGGACACGCCTTCCTTGAATCCACCCTTGGAGTACGACGCCCATCGGATACTGTAATGCTTCAGCTGCAACCGCAAAGCCATGTCAAAGTCTTCGGACACATTCGACTCAGACCATATCTTCTTCTTCCCATCATCGGGATCGATGAACGCCGCGTCCTGGAGAGCTGACCACCGAAGAAAGGCGTTGTGTCCGACAAAGGGAGCCACCTCCCCGTTCGCGCACCCGATAGAAATACACTTGTTAATCCGCCGTGTGAAGTGCGCAATGCCGTTCTCGAAGTAGTGGTGCGCGACTTGCATTACGTCTGGTGATGAGCGTGTCAGGCATCTCACACTTGCTAAAGATAAGTAAGACATACCCGACTCGTGCTGGATAATACCGACGTCGGGGCTCTCTGCAAGTTCTCGCGCGGCATCGCGGAAACAATCCTGCAAATGAAATAAAAAAATAAGCATCCATCACTTCGTCGGACAGAGATAGTCTGTTACCTCAGGCACAATCGTGTCTGCATCGACAATCAAAATAATTTCGCCGACGCGCAAAGACCTCCCATTGCTTGCCCAGGGCTGCCACTTCCCACCATTCTCATTGTACACCTCCTCTATGGCCAATGCTAACGCCATATCTTCAAGACACTCATATTCGCTGCTATCCAACTCTCCCCTCTGCTCCACGTCTTCGAGCACCTTCAAATGCTTCTCAAGCTTCAAGCTTAGCGCGAGCCCGTAGTTCATGTTCGATGCCTTCTTGAACCGGCCCGCGCGCTTGAAGCCGCCTGGCGCGCTATCATGCTTCGGGCGCGCGACCCACCCAATGTTGTGATCAGAATAGAATGCAATACGTTCTTCGCGCTCCTTGGGGCTAATGAGCTGCAGCCCGTCGTCATGCACAAAAATAGCAGACGTGCCACCCTGCCTGGCGTACGTCTGCATTGCCTTTTTGATAGAGAAGACCGAGGGCGAACTGATGCAATAACGTCAGCATATTCTATCTGCCGCTACCAAAAGAGGGAGCTGACATTGTGTGTTCTAGACTCTCCTTGAACACAGGAAGTTCGATGGTAATGTGGGGTAAGGCGGCATCGACTTCCTTGTTCGGTGGTGGGGGGAGTGCGGAGTAATACTTTGAATTCTCGTGGTATTGAGCAACCGGACCAAGCCTAAGACGTTTAATGCATGATTACGTGAATCCATATACCAGGGACGAAATGACCTACGCCAAGGATAAATTGCCCACAAGCTGCAGACAGAAGAACTACAGTCGATGCATCAGCTTCTGGATCCGGAGAAAATATCATTCTCTCACCAGTGATATGCAAAAGAGGAAGGGTGATGTAACGAGCAGGATGAAACGATTATAATTGTTATCGAGAAGCCATTCAGCTACAAGGACGCT